ACGCGAAGCGCTGTGGATTATGAGATGCTTGATGACCCTGGAGGGATCGATTTTGCTTACTGAGCAAAAAATCATGGATTTAATTTCAAGCTCTTCCACAGCACAATAAATCGCCACCATCATTTGTATATTTGATATTGAACATTAATCTTGGAAACTATTTGCATATCAAGCGAAAACGTAGTCCTGTATTGTCGCGAAGCGTTATGGTTCTGAGATGCTCGATGACCCTGGAGGGATCGTTTTTGCTTACTGAGCAGAAAATCATGGGTTTAATCCCAAGCTCTCCGTCATGACTCTTAAAATTCATGATCACTAAACAAAATGAATATGTTCTTTCGATAGCCGGCTATCGATAGATTAAATAAACAACAAATAAACAATACATACTTTTGGTTGCATCGCCAACTTGAGGTGAATCCTAACCGAATACCCTACCCAACCCTCCAACTCCGTAGCACTTATGAGGGTGTCGCTAAGTCGGTGGCCTCTCGTTAAGTAAGTACTGCATCAACATTTCCTTCCCTATCCCTAGTTATGGTAAAGATGGGCGTGGCCGGGAATAGCGACAGTCATGCTTCTGTTACTCTTGTTTTGATTGGAACCAATGTTTACTCCCCAGCATTATTCCTGAAAGTAGTCTTACTGAGAATTTCAGAAGAGACGTGAGTGTCGCTAGTATCCAATCTACGAAGTATATCATAACAACGCTAACGCTAACGCTAAAAATTTTCATATTTCTGCTGCATTTGATTGATAATAGCGCTATGTTTGATACCCACTTTTGATGATTGAATGCAGTGATGTACAACAAAAAACATCATTTTAGAGAATGTGAAAAATTGTAACTAACAAATTGGACACAGAAAATGCCGTAGAAATTTTTTCTCTCATAGTTTTGACCCTTGGGAATCTGCGAAAAATATAAAAGGGTGAGATTTCACTGAAATTTAAAGAACTAAACATATTTATTGGATAATAGCTATGAAACATGGACTTTTTTCAAAAATATCGGCGGGGCGACCTCTAAACAACATTTTCCAGAGTTGCCGCGATACAAAAGTTTGTTTGTAACACCCTTAGCTATCATTTGGAGGTTGAGCCCTCAGATTTCCGGACATAGTGCAATTTTGGAACACCCTACTATACAGGCCTTTAACAAGGAAACAAAGTCAGCCCGATAACTGGCACTTTCAGCACTGCTGGCGCAGCTGCGGCACACTTGAGGAACACTGAGAAAAAAATTGACACAAACTAAGTGTGTAGAGTGACCACCCCTTGAGTAGCACTTCGCTAACCCGACCGGTCCTTTCCCAAATCGATATAATTACAATATTTTCTTAATTAAAACACACGCTCATAAGATTCACTATAATACCAATCAATCTTCCAAATACTTATCACACATCTTGAAAAAAAAATTTATTTGAACTTGAAAAATCACTCCACGGAAACACAGATCAATTTGTTACAGCTTATGAAAACCCAACCGTCCGTGGGTTGGGCCTACTGTGATCGAAAAGCCAAAGCTTGGTAATGCCAAGGGGTAATCAACTCTGCACTTTAGGACAAATATAATATAAAAAGGCATCACTGTCGAGTGTTGACGTTTTGCCGATCGTTGCTAAGGTTGACTTCTTTATTTACTCTATTGAGCTTCAAATTGGGTTCGAGGATCGTACCTTGCCACTTTAAAAAAAATCAAGGGCTCAATTCTGTGAGTATTGTTTGCACCATGAATCTCTTATCTCTTCAAAACCAACAAAACTTAAACTTATCTCATCCGATTTGTAGCGAAAACCCCAGCGGCTTGTGGTTTCATCCAGAATAGCTTCTATTCGGGCCTCAAGCCAACAGAGTTCTTACACACCAGGGTCGATATGGCAGTCAAAATGGGTTCCCTCCAGTGACGGTTGGTCAAATGCCTGTAAGATTGTCCAATACGACAGTACAGTGCGGAATGTGATCGACGAACTGAACGGCCAAAAATCTTCTGAACGACGACAATATTGTGCCCGAAACGGAGGATTTTTGTTTTGTTTTTAAAGTTTGTTATGCCGAACGAACGATAAAGAAAAAAACGACATCATAGGGGATGTGCGTGAAAGAATTTGTATTTCGGCCAGGTTTGAATCCCGGCCTTGTCAAGGCTCTTCCGGGATGGAAATTTTCTCGCTATCCCCTGCGCTTTTCCTCAGGCATTATTGGTATCACTTCGATGGGAAATGCACTTTAAAGGGATGTCCATACAAGTCCCAGTACTGCTGGGGAACGTCGATACGTATTAACCTCAAATATCCCATCAGATCTAGCCAGATTGCCTCAGCGAAACAGTATAGGATTTATAGGAACAAGTCAATGCTATCAGAAATGGAATTACATTCTATTCCGTAAGTACACCCTATCATCAACGATCCAATATGCACTCTTCTGTTGCACTAGTTCGACTCAAAAGGACCCGGGGCGATGGGTGGTCTACCAATCAGTCAAGGCCTCGAAAGTTTGATTTGCGGCAGAGGAGGTTCCGTATGACGATACTCAATAATTTGCTGTTGGCAAGGGTCACTCCACACAGTGTGCTAAAAACAAGCTTGGGTACAACTGGGCACAGTCATTGGCACTGTTTGGCACCCAGGGTTACAATTTTACTGATCTTTAAAGTTACTGGCAACACTGAACTTTTTCTGTGCCTGCACAGTGTGCATGTGTCAAAATTTGTTATTGATGTTGCCACAACCGTGAATCTCCACCAAGTCTCACCATGGATTCTCAAAATCGTTACACCCGTGACGGCAGTCACGTCCATATTTCCTCCCAGACGAAGAACAGCTGACAGCGGTATCTTGACCTGACCGAGGTTTCCGGCCATGGCTACACGAACTAGCGATGCAGCTCCCACGGCTACGGCTATTCCTGCTATTTTCCTGAAGTTAATGGAGCCGCCCTTAAACTCTTTGATCTTAACTGAATTTTCAGAGATTTACGTAAACTCGATGGAACTGCCATACATACTGAACATTGTTTATTCATTTTGCTATCTTACACAAAATGTCGTGAGCATTTTTCAATCTGAAAAAAACTGCTTTTGAATTTTTCGAAAATGCATCAAAGTTAATAGAACCTTACAGAATTATGATGCATACAAGGGGCAAGACAACTTACAAATACCATCAATTATATCAAAATATGTTAAAGCATATAAGGGTATTTTCATAAACTATTACATGTTCAAGATAGTGCTTTTGTACTGAACAATGTTTGTCAAAAACTTTTGTTTTTAAGTCATCAAAGTTTATCAAATTTTGCAAATAAAGGGTGATACGGTCAAAATTTGGTCAATATCAACTTGACGTATTTCTTTCAATTTTGCATTTAAAAAACCTGAACACCCCTCATTTTGAAGGTGTGTGTGTGTAGAATGTTGCTCGTATTTTGATTTTGGAATTCACTCTTCAGTTGTCAAAATGCCGTCCAAGCAAGAAGAGCAGCGTATCAAAATTTTGCTCGCGCATCGAGAAAATCCGAGCTACTCGCACGGAAAGTTGGCAAAATCGCTAAAAGTTGCCAAATCAACCGTTACAAATGTAATTAAAGTGTTTGGGGAACGTTTGTCGACAGCCAGGAAGTCTGGATCGGGGGGAAATCGAAAACTGGAAGCCGCTGAGACGACAAAGAGAGTTGCCGGTAGTTTCAAGCGAAACCCTAACCTCTCTCTCCGAGATGCCGCAAATAAGCTGGGTGTATCGTCTACAACCGTGCATCGACCAAAAAAACGAGCCGGACTATCGACTTACAAGAAGGTAGTGACTCCAAATCGCGATGATAAACAAAATACGACGGCCAAAGCGCGATCCCGGAGGCTGTACACGACGATGCTGACGAAGTTTGACTGCGTGGTAATGGACGACGAAATCTACGTCAAAGCCGACTACAAGCAGCTTCCGGGACAGGAGTTTTATACGGCAAAAGGAAGGCGAAAGGTAGCAGATGTTTTCAATCACATGAAACTGTCAAAGTTTAAATATCTGGTTTGGCAATCCATCTGTACCTGTGGCTTGAAAAGCAGCATTTTCATAGCTTCCGGGACTGTCAACCAAGAAATTTACGTGAAAGAGTGTTTGAATAAACGTCTGCTGCCTTTCCTGAAGAAACACGGTTGTTCCGTACTGTTTTGGCCGGATTTGGCATCTTGCCATTACGGTAAAAAGGCCATGGAGTGGTACGCCGCCAACAACGTGCAGGTGGTTCCCAAGGACAAGAACCCTCCCAACACGCCAGAGCTCCGCCCAATTGAGAAATACTGGGCTATTGTCAAGCGGAACCTAAAGAAGACCAAAAAAACTGCTAAGGGCGAGCAGCAGTTCAAGGCAAACTGGCTTTCTGCGGCGAAGAAGGTGGACAAGGTGGCTGTACAAAATCTGATGGCAGGGGTCAAGCGTAAGGCCCGGCAATTCGGATTTGGAAAAGCGGAAGCCTAACTGAATATTTTTCCTGAATTTTATACAAATTGAACTTGAAAAAGAAATTTAATTTGATTTTTTAAATAAACGATTTCACCGATTTACACGCGTTTTCCCTTGACAAAATTTTGACCGTATCACCCTTTAGATTTATTTGCATTTGTAAACACAGATTCAAACGTCTCTTAGCTCACCCACGCAAACTAATCCCACCATCAGCGCCAAGAGCTTCGAAAAATTGACGTCTGAATCTTTGTTTACTGATGCATATGCATTAATTGCACGATAAGTGATATTCTTAACATTCTGCGGACCATACAAACTGCTGCGCATTCACCTGTGTGGCGACTTATGGAGGGTCACCAAAGTGCCACGAGAACCAAATTCCACCTCTCACTCCCTCGTTCACACTGAATTCTACCGCAAAGAAATTCACGCGGCTCTTGTTGGCTAATCTTCTAATTTGCATGATTAAAAAATCGGAAATTCAATTCATCCATGAAACACCCCCCGGCTCCATCTTTCCCACCCCACCCACAGTTGATGAATCATGGCGAAGAACACAAACCAATAGCAGCTACCTAAACATACCACCAGTGTGTCAGTGTCAGTGCCAGTATCAGTGTCAGTGCGTGTGGACCGGAAAAGTGAACAAACACAGGTGGTGCTTGTGGCGGAAAAAAAAATTAATTAAAAGAACCGTCGACCGGCTCCTGAGTTCGAAATTCGTTGACAGGTGGAAAAGCACAATCGAAAACAACAAAGCCCTACTCAGTAAGTGCCGAGTGTGTGAGTGGGTAAGTGAAGCTATCAGCAGGCCACGTTTTACGTGCCATTTCGTTACGCGTTGCGTGTCTCAGTTCCAGTCAGCATCGGAGGAATATTGCGAAGAAAATAAACTCGAAAACATCTGGTGGTGGAGTCTTGGCAGCATTCCTTGCCGCCGCCGGTGGAAACCATGTACCCGTACTATGAATCGGAGTGGAGCATACTGCCTCCGGAGCACAATCGAAGGTAATTTTTCTATGCATAATTTCGTGACTGTTTGAAGTGAGCTGTGGCTCTATTTAGTTGTTGGTGGTCGGAGAATTTTGCCTTCACTTTCGCAGGCTTACCTGAAGCGTGAATAACTGCGGCAAATGTAGGTTCAAATGAAAAACACCAGATAAGAGGTGGCGCGTTATCAGAGAACGATAAGAACGGTGTCTGCTGGTAAACAGCGGTGCTGAAGGCTGCATAGCTGGAACATTCGAGTTCGTAGTGATTTTTCGATAACATTTTGTTGATACCCCCATGTGATGGTGTCATTGATCGATACAAAAAGGTTTCGATCGGTACTACACTGCTCCAATACAATCAAAATTACAGGAGCATAGCCACTGATTACAATTTTAATCAACATGTTCACTGTAAACAACATTTATCTCACGGATTTAAAATATGCATCTTATTTATTAACAGTGGCAAAAGCATTTCAAGAACTTTTGCGCTCTCGTAAAGCACAAATTGGAAAAGATCCCACGATTCCGAGTAGGGCTGGGCCAACCGGAACTGTACCACATACATTTTAGATAAACCTGTTGAAATCTCATCTCCTCAATTTTCCGCTTCCCAGCGTTGGCAGTAGGCCCCTGCACGGTCAATGAGATCAACCCAAATTGGAGTTCAGCTTACTCATAAATCGCAAAAAGTGCAGCAACTCAGCGATGAGTAACTTTGTCTCATGTTTTTCCAGGGTTTTTAGGGTTTCTATAGTTTCCATGAGGCAAATTCATCGCTGAGTTCCTGCACTTTTTGCGAGTATGAGTAAACTGAACTCAAATTTGGGTTGACCTCATTGGCCGTGCACCCAACTAATTCCACAGTGCAGCGCGTTCGTTTAACCTATATAGGTACATACACACAAACGGCCATGTTCAGGATGAGAACGAACGAAGCGAGCCTGGAGCGTCAATTCTCGAATCCTCGTCTGCTACATGCTAACAACCGACAGTCGGTGCATTCACTCGGGCGAATGGCGAAACTGGAGGAAAAGCCGTGAAAATTTTTCCACTGAAAGCTCAAATCCTGTGAACGAATACGGAAGGGTCCATTTGTTTCCCGCTCCCTATATAGCATTCTCGACTGCTACCAGCCTGAAAGCAATCTACGTTCATGGCGGTCGTCTGGGTGGCGAAACAAGTGTTTTGAATGGAGCCTAGAAATCGCCGTGCCCGTTGTGACAGTAGGTAGAGGTAGGACGTGAATTCCGAGGTAAGAAAGAGCGGTTCATTCTTCGTTGTGCTTAATTCGCTTTGGAAAATTTGCGCCATTTGTGTCTCGAAGTTGTTGGCCTTTTTCGTCGTCAATGGCGTACATTTTAGTGAAATTTCATTCTAAACTTTATGCCGCAGACATTCTTATTAAACTCAATTGCGCTGAACAGGGCTGCTTCTGATGAGATGTAATTTAAAACTTGTTGCGCTAGGCTTTCTTAGTTTGAGTGAGATTAATTTTAATCAGACATAATTTAAATCTTTCTCAACCCCGTCTAGCCAACGAGAAGTCGAACTCACTAATTGAAACATGGTGTTGAGCCTGGCTTGCCCACCGCCGATTGCACCGGATAATTGCATGCCCCAGGTCAATAACGACGGAAACGTGAAATCGGTATGGGAAACATTAGGGCAGATGCACCAACTATGGCATTAGTCCACATAAACTTAACTTAAGCTTTAACTAGTACATTTTTTAAGTATTGCCATAACTGGTAAATACACCTCGCCTAGCCGTAATCTACTTTCCGTGTCAAAGCTGCCCTTAATCTTAATCCCTTCTGCCGACTACCTACCCCTCAAACCGGAAGCCCTGTTTGTTCCTACGCCATTCCGTAGACCCAAAGCTGAACCTTAATTACCACTAACCGCGTAACCGTATCCTCATGGCATCGTCACAAAGTTCTAGCTCAACATCAGTTCCTCAACTTGGAACAACACCAACAGCACGATTCTTGGGATTCTAGCCAAGCGACAAAGCAAATTTGCACCACCGCAACCTCAACCCTCCCGGCGCCACCCGCCCTCTTGAGTTTGCGACGAAGAAAAATTAAGGCAAAACAAAACAAACGACCACCGCCGGTTCGCTGTATTTACATGGTTCACCCCTTCGGGTTCAGCACGTAATTAGAGGCCGATAATCCCCGTAGCTGATGCTGCTTGTTTAAACTTGAACTGCGCAAAAGGGTGCTCAATAATGAAACGTTAATTCTGTTTGAACTTTTTTTTTTCTAAAATTGGAAGGTGCATACCATTTAATTAAATTGAAGCCAATGCCACCAATGGCGGACTGAAGGTGGACTAAAGCCAGCGGCTGCAATCCACAGTGGTTCAGCTCAGTACATAAGTTGGTCAAACCTCAAAAGTGATTCCATTGTATATATTTCAAACGGATTAGGGTAAATGATCTTGATCTTCCAGAAACTTCTTGAAATTATCCTCAGAATTTCTATGGATTTCTCCTTTGAATAGACTTGAAGTTTCCTCCTTCTAAATGTTCTAAAAAATCTTAAAAAATAACCTCGGTAACTCGGTAAATCATCGTAAAAGTTTTGTTTGGATCCTATTCATAATTTCCATGGAAGTCAACTCAGAACTACTTTGGTATGCTCCTTAGGTTTCAGATGGAATCTGAAGTTCCTCAGAACTACCTTGAAGCACATTTTTTCTCACGCTCTTCCCAAAGTCCCAAAATTAGGGTGGTTCAAAATATCAAATTAAAGGTAATTAAACATATTTTTTAGGAAAAATACAATTAATATCAAAATTGGAATTTTGTTTTAAAAATCAATGATTGTATTTGTTTTTTTTTATGGTTTTCATGGTTTGTAGACAGAGGGCGCAGTATGCTTTTCTATTTTTCCTTAAAAATTTAGGCTTTTTACACAACATTAAAAAAAATCTGCGACGTAATTTTTTTAAGTTTTCAAATTTTGAGTTTTCGCTCAATACTCAAGTAACAATTTTGGTTTTATGAGGGTTCTGTAGACCATGAATTGGACTTGTAGAACGCTTTAAAACCTTGATATAACTTGCAATGTTACTTGGGGACTCCCATGTATTTCCAAAAAAAAAAAATCAGTATTATTTTTTCATAAACTCAATGTGAATCCAGATCCTAACCCTGATAAGCCAAACCCTCCAGTATTGTTCTATCCCGACAAGGGTGTTTTACGTGACCAGATTCTTCTTCAACCAAATTCCTCATGCGTCATATCAATTGGTGAGAGTTGTCCTTAAAGTTCTCTAGAGAATCCAAAATCTTCCAGATGTTCATTGACCGTTCTGTGGTGCTTGGTATTGCTTTCAATCAGCGCACCCCTCGTGAGCGAACAGAGAAAAAGAGGAAGTGTCAGAGTTGTAAAACACGTGAGACAATAAAGAGCTCCTGGAGATTGTCGATTAAAAACAACAAGTTTTATTCGTTTTATTTATTCGCGGTCCGCGTTCGCGCCCCACATTGGTGACCCCGACGGAGAAGAACAGACTGGATAACATACATTTCTTCAACGAAAATGGCAAACCCGAACGAAAACGCTGGCGTCGCCGTAAAACTTCCGGACTTTTGGAAGAACGATCCTGTCATGTGGAGGCTCAGTTTGCCTTCGCGAATGTTCTTAGAGACGATACGAAATTTTATCACATTGTGGCCAAAATCGACCAATCGGTCATTTGCCACGTAACGGACTCAGTGTCGAATCCGCTGGCAGAAAATAAGTACAGTGCGGTGAAGAATCGTTTGATCTCGCGTTTTCAAGTGTCTGCAGAAGGAAGGTTGGAACGTTTGCTGAGTTCCTGCGATTTGGGTGATTTGCGGCCAACACATATGCTCGCAAAAATGCAAGAGCTGGCAGCAGGATTAAACGTAACCGATGAGCTCTTGAAAATGTTGTTTCTTCAGAGAATGCCCCCAAACGTTAAAGCCATTCTCACCATCAGTGACGGAACTGTGCACTTTGGAGTCTGAATATCAGAAATCACCCAGCGCACGCAGTGACATCAATATAGCTCTTACCTCTATCACAGCTAGCACACGAAAGCGACGATGCTTGAGCTTGATGCTGCACGACTGTAGAGTGCGATCGTAACGCCTCAAGGATAAGTGTGCAAGGTAGAGTGAAGTCGTTACTCGTTAGTAGCAGTGTTGTTAGCATTCGGTCTGGGCCACATATCCACCTTCTTCTCAAAAAAAAAGAAAGAAAGATGTACACCGGTGGAACCCATTCAATTGTTAATTCATGTTGGGATCTATTTACATGAATTATAGGCCATGCGAGGGCAGATGATGTGTCTCTTATTGAAAGTAGTACCGTCAACATGCGTGGCAAATTTATGATTTTCTCTACCTTGATACCGGTGGTAGAAATTGTGTTCTTATTTTGTCGGTCCTTGCACTACTCTCCACAGTCAGTTCCCTTCAAATCACTTTCATACATGAACCGAATTTGAAGTGAACTTTTGCGCGGTTCTTTATAGTTAAGGCATTTTTGAGCCATCACTTCAATTCAATTCGTAATTTTAACACGTAAAAATAGAATATTATTAAGGCAAACACTGCTTTATTTATTTTATATGCTTTTTTTTATTATTCATTATTATTAATACAAATATGCAATTAATATTATAACACAAACCTTCTACATCGATTGACGACAATAAATAAATAAATCCGAGATTTAAGTATATTTTGCTTTCCGTGCAATCGCAACCAATACGAAGTTTCTGAAGGGTTATTATTTTGACGCGCTCCGTAGATGGATTCTGCACTATAGAGATTGCTAAAGTGCGATTGTGCCAGTGATTTGTTTTCATCAGGAAAATATTTCGCTATGAGTGAAACTTTTCCTGATGAAAACATTTGTGTATACATACAGTGGGGGAAATTCGTTTAAACGCAATGTCATTTTTGCGTTTATTTTCAACACAAAAGATCGAGACAAAAAATCAAATATAGTTTGTCATAGCCCATCAGAAGTCTCG